CATCAAGCCATTCACGTGGGATCTTCCTCGTGACCCGAACATCCCCACATTGGCGATCAAATTCCAAATGAGATTGGGAGGGGCAGATGTCCAAACTCGATCAACGTGGCTGATTGTCCTGAGGACCAAGTTTGTTTCACACAGTCCTGATTTTCTTCATTCAGGGTTCTCTTGTCTATTGATTGATTGATTGATTTTCAAGGTCAGATTAATTGAGGTTTAATTTACATAGAATAAAATTCAGCCTATTAGGTACAGGACACACGCAGTCAGTCACGCAAACACCATCACCATCAGGATGCAGAATCTGTCATCCCAGAACAACTCACATGTCCCTTTGAAGCCAGCCCCCTCCCTGACTACCACTTGGAGACTACTGATATAGTTTCTGTTTGGGGGATACAGTTTTCCAGAATATCATAAATGGAATCATGTAGAACTTAGCCTTGTGAGTCTGGCTTCTTTCTTTCACTATAGCAGAAATGCCTTTCAGATGTGTCCACGTTGGTACTTCCATCCATGCGTCAGTCCGTTGTATCACTGAGAAGTAATCCATCGTGTGCACGTACCACAGTTTGCTCATCTGTGCATCAGCTGGAGGACATTTGGGTTTACAGATTGTGGTGACTGTGAATAAAGCCAGTGTAAACATTTGCATATATGGATTAGTGTGAATGCAAATGTTAAGTTTTTCTTTTTCCCAAGTAAGTTCCCAGGATTGCCTGGGAAAATGATAAGTGTATGTTTCACTCCATAAGGAACTGCTGAACGGTTTTCCAAAGTGACTGCAGTACGTGCATTCCCAGCAGCATTCCAGAGGATGCTCAACCTAGGCGCCACGCGGAGTGCTCAGTTTGGTTTTTAAGCTGTTCTGATAGGTGTGTAATGACCGGATGCAGTGGCTCATGCCTGTAATCCCAGCTACTCATGAGGCTGAGGGAGGAGGATCGCTGGAACCCGGGAGGTGGACGTTGCAGTGAGCTGAGATCACACCACTGCACTCCAGCTTGGGCAACAAGAGTGAGACTCCTTCTCAAAAAAAATAAAATAAAATAATTAACAACCACCACCAAATAACCTAATAGGCATGTGATGAGGTCTCATTGTGGCTTTAATTTGCATTTCCCTAATTAATATGCTGAGCATTTAATCATGTGCTTATTTGCCTTCCAGAATCTTCTTTGATGAAGCATCTATTCATATGTACCCATTTTTTAAAGTTTTTACGTTTTTTATATTTTTGGTAGAGACGGGGTGTCCCGTGTTGCCGAGGCTGGTCTTGAACTGCCAGGCTCAAGTGATCCTCCCTCCTCGGCCTCCCAAAGTGTTGGAATTAAGGGTGTGAGCCACTGCACCTGGCCTGCATTTTTTATGTTTTTGAGAGACAGGGTCTTGCTCTGTCACCCAGGCTGGAGTGCAGTGGTGCAATCATAGTTCACTGCAGCCTCAACCTTCCAGGCTCAAGCAGTCCTCCCACTTCAGGCTCCCAAGTAGCTGGGACTACAGGCGTGTGCCACTACGCTTAGATCGTTTTTATTTTCTTTTTTTTTTTGTAGAGTTTGGGTGTTGCTGTGTTGTCCAGGCTGATCTCCAACCCTGGGCTAGTGATCCTCCTGCCTTAGCCTCCCAGAGTGCTGGGATTACAGGTGTGAGCTACTGCTCCAGGTCTAAATCTACCCACTTTTTAATTGGGTTGTTTGTTTTTTATTACTGAATTTATTTATTTACTTATTTATTTTTGAGATGGAGTCGTGCTCTGTCGCCCAGGCTGGAGTTCAGTGGTGCTATCTCGGCTCACTGCAACCTCCGCCTCTCAGGTTCAAGTGATTCTCCTGCCTCAGCCTCCTGAGTAGCTGGAATTACAGGCATGCGCCACCATGCCTGGCTGATTTTTGTATTTTTAGTAGAGATGGGGTTTCACCATGTTGATCAGGCTGATCTCAACTCCTGGCCTCGTGATCCACCCACCTTGGCCTCCCAGAGTGCTGGGATTACAGTCACGAGCCACCGCACCCGGCCTTTATTACTGAATTTTTGAGAATTCTTTATAGTCTGGATGCAAGTTCTTTATCAGATATATTAATATTTTCCTCTAGCCTGGCTTTCCGTGCTGCCCCCCCGCCCCGCCCACCCATTTTCTTGACAGTATCTTTGAAAGAACTGTCAGCATCCTTTTAAGAAATAAATTGAACTTTAGGTAAACATAATCTATCGCATCTTAGCATTCATTTTCCAGCTGGAGTTGGAATTCCTCATGCTGATTTTGAACAAACCATTAGTTCAGTTTGTTTCTGTTTTTATTTTTATTTTTTCAGTTCAGATTTTAAAAAAGAACTCCCCCACTTACTAACCAGATTTGAATTTGGTTTGTTTTTCAGGAAATTGGATACACTCACATGAAAATAGCAGAAGGAGTGAACTCCCTTTTGCAGATGGCAGGCCTCCTGGCCAGGCTGTGTCAGAAGACAATGGCCCCGGTGGCCAGTTAGAGCAGAGACTTCGCTGACTGACTTACAGGAGCCCTATCCTGAGGTACAGGAGCTGTGGCTTTCTGATGGGGGAAAATGCCGCCTTAGGCTGGAGCCAGCATGACTGCCGTTTAAACTCCAGTGGCTGGCCAGGTGCGGTGGCTCACACCTGTAGTTCCAGCACTTTGGGAGACCGAGGCAGGTGGATCACCTGAGGTCAGGAGTTCGATACCAGCCTGGCCAACATGGGGAAACACTGTCTCTACTAAAAATATAAAACTTAGCTGGGTGTGGTGGCAGGCACCAGCTACTTGGGAGGCTGTGGCAGGAGAATCGCTTGAACCCAGGAGGTGGAGGTTGCAGTGAGCCAAGATCATACCATTGCACTCCAGCCTGGGTGACACAGAGAGACTGTGTCTGGGGGGGTAAAAAAAATTAAATAAATAAACTCCTGTGGCTTTCATGATTGCTTCTGGGACATCTGTGCTTCACGAGTGTTTGCGTTCAGCCTCCGCCCCACTGATGTGGTACGGGGTGGAAAGGCGCAGAGGAGCTGAGGGTGGTCTCTGATCTGTGTGTGGGTTGACATTTTAGCTAATAAAGCCTTGCAGTGTTTGTTGGCAATAAGGTGACCACGTGAAGCCTCGAGGAAAACCAGCTTCCTGTCTCTACTGGCCTTGGCAGCCTACAAGTAGAAAAGGCGATTAGATAGTAGGCCCACAAGCTCATCTCGGTTCTTCTAGAAGCCTGAAGGGGCCACTTCCCCAGGGTGAGGGCAGGGTTTGCTGTCATTTCCTATTTAGACTGACTTCTCAGAATGGCCAGGTGGCGAGCCTCTCAGAGAGGGCCGCAGAGTGGAGAGACGCAGCCCAGCCCTCAGGAAAACACCGTGACGCCCTTCCTGTGTTCTAGACCATACTCTTTGTGCTTGCCTTTGTGCTTGCTTTAGAATTCCCCGGGGAATTTCCTACTAATTTGTAGAATTGCCTTTTTTTTTTTTGTGAGATGCTATTTTGTTTCCGGTTTTTTTTATTTATTTACTTTATTTTTAAGATAGGGTCTTGCTCTGTTGCCCAGGCTAGAGTGTAGTGGGCCAATCCTGGCTCACTGCAGCCTCAACCTCCTGGGCTTAAGTGATCCTCCTACCTCAGCCTCCCAAGTAGCTGGGACTATAAGCATGCACCATGATGCCCAGCTAATTTTTAAATTTTTTGTGGAAATGGGGTCTCGCTCTATTGCTGGGACTGATCTCAAACTCCTGTCCTCAAGTGATCCTCCCACCTCAGCCTTCCGAGTAGCTGGGACTACAGGCATGCATCACGATGCTCAGCTAATTTTTAATTTTTTGTAGAAATAGGGTCTTGCTATATTGCTGGGACTGGTCACAAACTCCTGGTCTCAAGTAATCCTCCCACCTCAGCCTCCCAAAGTGCTGGCATTACAGGTGTTAGCCACCATACCTGGCTCATTTGGGGACAGTGGCTCACGCCTGTAATCCCAGCACTTTGGGAGGCCAAGGCCGGTGGATCACATGAGATCGGGGTTCAAGGCCAGCCTGGCCAACACAGAGAAATCCCGTCTCTACTAAAACACAAAATTACCTGGGCATGGTGGTACATGCCTGTAATCCCAGCTACTCAGGAGGCTGAGGCAGGAGAATTGTTTGAACCCAGGAGGCAGAGATTGTAGTGAGGCAAGATAGTGCCACTGCACTCCAGCCTGGGCAACAGAGCGAGAGTCTTACAAAAACAAGGAAGAGAAGCTTGTCCCTGAGGTTGTGCAGTCAGGACTTCAGGGTGTGAAGTAACACGCGGGCAGCAGTTGGGTTCTAGA